AGAGCTGCCTGCCTCATTCCTCGCCAGATCTCCACTGGCTGCAATGCGTGGAAGTGCTGGTGCACTTGTGCGCTGAGTCAGGAGGAGCAGCGCTGGAGGAGAAGACGCGCTGGAGGGAGGAAGATGCCTGTACGCTGGAAGTGATGCAGCTATAGCTGCCCAGCGAGTTAGCATTAGTAGTAGAGGGTTAGTATGTAGCTATGAGTAGTATCCAGAGTAGATCTTCATGAGTATTGAAGAGTGTGTATGCATCATAGGAGGAAGGGATTGAGGCTGAGAGTGTTCATTCAAGGTTGGCTATGGAAGATACTTACCTGAGGTGGATGGGACCTGCAGAGGTGGCGCTGATGAGTGGTGACCACATTGATGACTTGGAGACTATCTGCAGGGGTAGCACTGATTCACTGGAAGGCATATTGATGAGTTGGCAAGATATTGGTGTTGCGCTGATGAGCGCTGGACTCAGGGGAACTTTGAAACACTTTGTATTCATATTTCTGATAATATAAACTGTGAAACTCGGTCCTCATCTTCTCTATCTTTGTCTATTGTCAGACTACTGCTCATTGTGTGTGGGAGTACGATGCATGGCATGTACACACTTGCGTGAGATGGTCCCCAGGACCCATGCAGTTCAAAAAAACCATCAGAAATTTCATAACAGTGAAACTAAGGATGTTCTGAGAAAGTCCAATTGAAGGAATTTAGAGCTACTTCAGAGCTTTTTTGCAAGGAACTTCAGAGATAATAAAACAACAGAAGAAGACTCGGGAATCCACCAACAGTCCTCCTCACCCCACTCCGGCAAGACTTACTGCAGCAAAGCCACCATCTCTACTGCTGCTATGCCCTATTTCTGTCCTACCAGCTAGCCCCTTCACTAGCAGGACGCGTGATACCTTTCTCTCTCGATCCCTTTCCTTCCCGTTGCTCAGAAAAAGGTACGGGAATAGACTGCAGAAGTCCTAAAAAAGCCCCCAATCCCGCAAAATCCCTAACAAAACCTTCCAAGGATCTCCAAGACTGTCGTATTCCCTGCCGAGCTTCCGGGCCTCACACCCCCCATCCTGCTGGGTTACAGGGCAACACAACTTACCCCAGCTCCGGCCAGCGTCGTCTCAGCAGCAACCCTTGGTTGTCCCGTGGGATGCCCCCCCAAAGCACCCCCAGATCTCTCTACCAGGCCTCATGCCCCTGCGTCAACAGGTTACAGGGCAACACCCCGGCACCGGCCAGCGTCGTTCTGGCGTCGAATAGCCTTAAGTCACCGAGTATTACAGCCTTGAGACTACCTAGAAGAGATTGCCACGAAACCCCAGGATCCAGAAGACATTTTAAAGACAGAACAGACTACCCCCTGTTTTGAGAACTGGATTTAACTAAGTAAAAACTTGTAATTGACAACATAGAAAAAGACGTGGCGGGTCCTACAAATGCTCAGAAACCCTTGGAATCCCTAACGCCCCTTCCGAGGTCTTTCAACTCTGTCCTACTCCCTGCCGAGCTCTTCCAGGTCTCACACCCCACATCCTGCTAGGTGACAGGGTGACACAACTCACCCCAGCTCCGACCAGCGTCGTCCCAGCAGCAACCCTTAGCTGTTCCGTAGGATGCCCACATTTCTCTCCCAATGAGAAATCAATCTCGACCTCGTACGAAAGGAGCAAACAACTTACGGGGATTGCACTAGCTGATGAATCTGTGTGTAGATTTTGCACGTGGCTTGGGTTTACCAGGGAGCTGTGCAGGCTTTGCTCGAAAGAATGTAGGGTCTTTTTCTATTTGGGACATTTCTGTTTGACGATATATATGGAGGCTGGAACTCCACTGGAGTCAAACTGGTAGGTTGGCTCTCCTATTGTTGCATGGGTCCACTTGATCCAATTGGGAGGACGGAACCGGGAACCAATGGGATTTGTGAATTTGGAGGGTACATGGATTTTCCGAAAGTCAAGTCAAATATGATTTGATTCACCCGGAATAGGTGTAATTACTCAAATAAAAACAGCTTCTTTGGCTTTCGACAAAAAAATATCATAATTAATTACGACTGGTGTCAATTGTAACGGCGTCTTCCAGGAAGCGGGAATTCTTTGTCAATTAAATGAAGTGAAGCTTCCCACTTGATCCAATTGGGAGGATGGAAAGAGGGTCCAGTTGGTCCAATTGGGAGGAATGGACCAGGGTCCACTAGATCCAATTGGGAAGATGGGACCAGGGCCCACTAGATCCAATTGGGAGGTTGGCTCTACAGCTTTTCCCGATTTATTTGTGTCGATCTTGTGCATCGGCAATAAGTTTTTTTTTCCCTTTTTTTTTTCCAAGTGTTAATTTGTTAAACTCAAGGCTACCAGCCGGGCCGCCCGGGTCACCCTATTTTTCCGGGCGGCCCGGCCGTGCAAGGACCAGGGAAGGTCTCAGCCCCCCCCCCCCAAAAAAAGAAATCCAAAAAATCCGAAAAAAAAACTATGTTATGCAGAAAAATAAACTGAACAACTTTTGCCTCAGGGTCACATCGGAATTCTTTACCAAAATTTTAAAATAAAAAATAGCATAAAATTTGATAAAAAATAATTTTGTTTTTTTATTTTGGTCTTTTTGACCCGGCCGGGCAAGTGGACCTGGGCCACTCTGGTAGCCTAGGTTAAACCACTATAGTGGGAAAATACCCCTCGGGTGGGCCTCAACTTTTTAGGAGGCCGAAACAAAATGAGGGCCGCTGATCGGATTTATCAGTGGCAGCCGTTGTCGGGCCCGGCCTCCGATTTTTTAGGAGTTTGGGAGAACTGCCAGTTATCCCTAGTTTCCCAACACTGGCGGAGGTACTAGTGGTTTAACTCTCCTATTGTTCCATTATTTTAAGGCATGTCCAGAAGGGCACGTTAGGCTTTCTTCTGTTGCTTGAAGGAAATAAAAATGGGAGCACTCAGGTGGTGGGCCCTCCTCCACAAGGCCCTGCAGTTAGTGCAGTGGAGGGTGAAAGAAAAAAGAATTCCGATGAGAGTTTTCTAAAGGGAGGATTGGTATAGGCAGGGGGGTCTTGGGAGGAAGAAGAAGAGAAGACAGCAGAGTTTCTCGGGGCTTGCACATGTTTCAGCTGTGTCAGGGTGGTTTATTCTTTTTTGCCGTGTCCCTACACTTGTTAAAATCGCTAATGTGAGAATTTTGGCATCCGGGCCGTCCACGGACTAGGATTGCTTCGCGATCTTGAGATTTTAGGATCGCATGGCGATCCAGGCTGTTCGCGGTCCTACCGGCCCGACGGCCCGGATTGCCCTGCGATGGTAAAACTTTAAGGTCACAGGGCAATCAGGGCCGTTGGCCTCGTACCAGTTGGCCAATGGCCCAGATTAGAAGTTTGCAGCCCAACCGAAGTTAGGGCTGCCAGGTGTGGGGAGAAACCGGTTCCAGGTGGGACGGTCTCCTCTTGGGCACAGCGGTTTGGCCCCCCCATGTATCTTTGGCGGCGCCTGCCCGTCCACTCGAACAAGCACATGCACGCACACAAGCACGAACACACGCATGCATGCAAATGCATCGTGGGCAGACTGTCGGGGTTCAATTTCCTGATGAGTTGGTGAAAGTCCAACGGAACAGTCTGGCACAGTCATGCTTTTTTGTGGGGTTCACGCGAACTGTGTGTGTGTGTGTGTGGGGGGGGAGAGAGAGCTGTCTCTTATACACATCTAGAT